TGACCCGGAGTAACCTCTGCAGGACAGCCTGGAGGCAATCGACACTGCAGACGGCCGCCCAGACCTCAGGGATGACCCACTGCCATCATCAGATGAGGTATTGTTCACGGACGGGAGCAACTATGTCCAGGAAGATATCAGGTATGCCGGGGCAGCAATAGTAACTCTGGACCATGTCATTAAGTAGGGGAACTTCAGCCGGATGGGCTGAACTCACAGCCCTAATCCAGGCTCTCTGATGAGACAAGGGGAAACCATGCTGCAAATAAGGAAGATCGACATGTAGCCCTAAAACTAGTAGAGACCTCTCCAGATAGCAGTTACCACACCAAACCCAAGTTTACCTCTGACTCCTACTTACACTGGGTCAGAAAATGACTTAACTGAACAGAAACAAGTCATAAAGAAAATCAACAAATAATAGACACTGCCTGCTGGGAGATTGTTGGTCCCAGAGGCTCTAGGTCGGACTTTAGTCAACCAGCTGCACCAGCCTACCCTCTTAGGTTACACCAAGCTTACTGAACTCCTGGGAGGCAGATAATGTCCAATAAGGTCACAGGGAAAAGAAAAAGATAGAAGGAAACAGGAATATATAGGTCTAAATAGAGAGGAAAAGAAAAAGGCTAGGGGATATGCAAACAACAAATAGATTGAGCAAGCTCTCAGGTTCATGTCAGGGGAGGGACTAAAAAAGTCACAGAAAGTCTATGTAAGTTAAAAAAGGATTATGGAGAGAAAATAAAAAGATAGGAAGAAAAAAGATAGGGACATACATATTACAAAAAGACAGGACAGTAGAGGAATACTCAAGAAGGGAAGAAGATAAGACACTGAGAGGGGAGAGCTTGCCCCTAAAATAGAATAACAGTCTAGGATGTAATAAAGGGAGTAACAGGTTTAGGCTACTCCTAGCCCTTAGATCAGAAATGACCCCGCCTTGATAGCAAAGATATCACAGGATATGTCTAAGGGATTAAATATAAATTAGAAGCTCCATTGTGCTTACCGCCCACAGAGTTCCAGGCAGGTAGAGCGCATGAACAGAACCTTAAAGGAAACCTTAACCAAATTTACTTTAGAAACCGGTGAAAACTAGACCACTCTGCTCCCCTCGCCCTCTTACAGTTCTTACAGGCTCTGCAGTCTGCCCAGAAGGCCATCCATAAACACATCTACGATGCCCTGCCTGTGCCCACCTCAGACTCTGTGCACCCTTTCCAGCCAGGGACTCGATGCAAAATAAAGAAATTCACCATCCAAGGACTAACTCTGGCCTGGAAGGGAACATACACTGTCATCCTGCCTTCACCAACGGCTATCAAGGTCAACGGCATCCCGGTCTAGCTGCATCATTCCTGGTTGAAGGCAGAAAAAGCAGAATGAACGGTGCAGACCTCTCCAAATCCCTTAAAAATGAGACTCTTACGTTTATCGGGACTCTAATTTTTCTAATTATAACTGTACACGGGAATCTTTATAGATCTAGACCCCAGTAGAACTGGGTACTTAAAAATAAAACATTAGAAAAAATCTTAAGAAATGTCAACCAGAAGAGGGTCTATGTGCAGCCTTAGGCGAAACCTGCTATTTCTATGCCAACCATTCAGGTATAATCAGAGCATCCAAATTCTAAGACAAAGAAACTAAGAGAAGGAGAACAGGCCTCCCATAATTAATATGAAAACTTATTTAATTAGTCACCATGGCTAACATCCCTGATTTCAGCTATAGCAGGGCCCCTACTGTTATTATTAATCAGAATAACTTGTAAACCCATCCTAATTAATAGACTCCTAGCCTTCATCAGAGAGAGAGTCTAATCAGTAAAACTTAGGGTCTTAGCACAATCCTACTAGAGATTGTCTCCCCATGACGATTGTGAATCAATGGTTTGATCCACTCACAAGAAAAGGGGGGAATGTTGTAGCTTACTGTCCTTAGAATCCAACTTGTCTTTGAGCTGTCCTAATTAACAACCTCAGAGACAGCAAGATGAACAATGGGAAATGTTATAGACGGCTTTAGCCCCATAAAAATTAACCAGAGTTTGACCTTCACTGGGAATTTGAAAAGCAACATCCTTCAGGAAAAGGGAGGACAGACACGGCCCCGAGGCCAGAGTGTCCTGCATGCTCTGTAAAGAAATTGATAGGGAGAAACTGAAGCTCCCTTTATCCCATAAAACTGTAACTGTTCAACATGTGTGTATTGCACCTGACTGACCGCTGATATCCGTCTCGAATTTGTTAGTTTTTAAAACTTGGATAATGGAATGAATAGCAGGACAGATGTATGCTGACCCAGTTCACCCAGTTCCCTTTCGCCTCAGCTCCCTCCCCCCTCCGTTCCCTCCTGCTTATCACTAACTGCCTCTGCTTCTGTACACGCAGCTTGCTTGCTCTGCTAAACTCTTGAAAGACCCCTGCCCTATAAAAGCAACCCTCCCCCTGGGCTCGGGGCTGCAGTTCTCCTCTGTGTAGGTTGGCTGCAGTCCCTGCGCAGGTAATAAAACATCTCCCAAAACTGAAAAATTGAGTCTGAGTGTGGTCGATCTCCTGGGTTACAACAAGAGACACAGACACATATCCAGGGAAGACACATCCCAAAGGGAGAATACCACATGAATAGGGATTGGAACAATGGGTCTCCAAGCTAAGAGAGCTGGCAACCACCAGGAACCAATTCTTCCTAGAGTCTTAAGAAAGAACATGGCCTTGCTGACACCTTGACCAGACTTCTGGCCTCCAGATCTGTGAGACAATAAGGTTCTGTTGTCCTAAACTAGCCACTTTGTGGTAGTTTGTAACGGCAGCCCTAGGAAACAGACACAGATGCATCACCACAAAGGTGAGAGCCACATGGTTCTATATTGCAAACAGGGATTACGTCAATGGATGCAACCCGAGGCTTGGTTCCACCCCTCCATTCCCGACCCTTTGCCCTCTCAGCAGTAAGTGGAAGTCTCTTGGAGAATAATTAGCCCAAAAGACCTAAAGTTGTTGAAATTGAGGATGTCCTAGCCAGGTCACTCAGCAGAGAGGTTCAACAACCCCTTTCCAGCGCCAACATGTAAAGTTTCTAATCTGTGTTTTAGCTGCTCCTTCTTAAATATGAGCAGGCAGCCCTAGCTGTTTTTGCTCAGTGGTTAGAGCGTTGGCCTGCAGTCCAGAGAGACCCGGGTTCGGTTCGCACTAAGGGCATATACCTCGGTTGCTGTTTGTCCCCGGCCCTGGTTGGTCGTGCGGGTGGCAGCCACTCGATGTGTCCCTTTCACTTCGATGTTTCTTTCTCTCTCTCCCTCTCTCTCTCTCCGGCTCTATCTAAACAAAGAATGGAAAAATGTCCTCTGGTGAGGATAAAAACAAAAAACAAACAAAACAAAACAAAAATATGAACAGGCAGTTGACAATAACCAGGTAGGTAGTTTAGAGACATCTTTATCATGAAAGACAAGGAACAAAACAAATGGGAAACTGGAGAAAACAGGTGGTACAAGAAGAAAATATTTTTGCGTGTTCCTATTTCACCGTTGACAGTATTACAGATATCCCCCCCCCCCATTTGTAAGCCCTTCCTCCTAGACTCTGCCCCACCCCAGGCCTTCCCCACACTATTGTCTGTCTGTTGGTTATGCTTATATGTATGTAAGTTCTTCGGTTAACCTCTTCCCCCCCTCTGAGATCTGTCAGTCTGCTCTATGCATCCATGCCTCTGGACCTATTTTGTTTGTCAGTTTATTAGGTTCATTAGATTCTACTTATAAGTAAGATCAAGTGATACTTGTCTTTCTCTGATTGGCTTACTTTACTCAGCATAATACTCTCCAGTCCATCCATGCTCTCTCAAAGAATAAGAAATCCTTTTTAACAGCTGCATAGTTTTTCATTATGTAAATGTACCACATATTTTTTTATCCTCTCATTACTGATGGACGCTTAGGCTATTTCTATATCTTAGCTATTGTAAATAATGCTGATATGAACATATGGGTCCATGTATTCTTTCTGATTTGTGTTTCAGACATCTTAGGATATATCCTAGAAGTGGGATCTCTGGGTCAAATGGTAGTTCTAGTTTTATTTTAGTTTATTTTTTTAGTAAATTCCATACTGTTTTCCATAGTGGCTGCACCAATTTGCATTCCCACCAGCAGAGCACTAGGGTGCCCTTTTCTCCACATTCTCACCAGCACTTGTTTGTTGATTTATTGATGGCGGCCATTCTGGCAGGTGTGAGGTGATATCTTATTGTAGTTTTAATTTGCATCTCTCTGATGATTAGTGATGTTGAGCATTTTTTCATATGTCTCTCGGCCATTTGTATGTCCTGTTTGGAGAAGTACCTATTCAGGTCTCCTGCTCATTTTTTTTTTATTTTTTAATTTTTTTTTTCTTTGTTGATTTGAGAGAGAGAGGAAGGGAGAGGAAGAGATAGAAACATTGATGAGAGAGAACATCGTTTGGCCGCCTCCTGCATGCCCCCCCCCACTGGGGATTTGACCCACAACCTGGGCATGTGCCCTGACAGGGATTCAAACCTGCAACCTCTTGGTGCATGGGTGGATGCTCAACCACTGAGCCACACCAGCCGGGCCCTTTTTTTTTTTCTTCACCTGAGGCTATTTTTCTATTCATCCTCAGGTAGAGAGAAAAGGAGGGAGAGAGAGAGAAACATGGACGACGTGAGAGAGACACATTGACTGGTTGCCTCCTGCACGACCCCAACCAGGGCCAGAGATGAACTGCAACCGAAGTATGTGCCCTTGACTGGAATCAAACCCGGGACTCATTGGTCTGCGGGCCGGTACTCTACCGCTGAGCCAAACCGGCCAGGGCTCCTGCCCATTTTTTATTTATTTTTCCAATTTTTATTAATTTATTTTTGTTACAGATGTTCCTCCTTTTCCCCCCTAGATACCCTCCTCCCCATGCCATCCCCCCACCCTCCTGCCCATTTTTTAATTGGGTTGTCTTTTTTTTTTTAGGATATATATCCTCATTTCTTCTTGGCCTTTTGGCTAAGATCAAGTGTAGTATCTGTTCTTATCAGTTTAATATCTGAGATGTCCTCTACCCAAGGACAATACATTAAATGGACTTTTGAAGCAGGGCGGAGGAATAGGAGCTGCTCCGTGCACACGGGGCATCAGCCTGGAACTGGAGTACTTCAGGGAACGGTGCGAAGAAAACACATCCTCAGAGAAGTAAGGAGATATTGCAGCCATGAACTAAAAAAGATGCTGTCTTATTAGGGAATGTTCAGAGAACAAAACAGCTCTTAGAAATTAAAAAGCATGATAGCAGAAATTAAAAGTCAGTAGGAGTTAGGAATTAAAGTTTACAAACTCTTTCAGAAGTGGAGCCAAAAAGGCAAAAATGGAAAATAGAAGGAAAAAGAAATAGGAGGACTAGTCCAGAAAGTTAAATAATTTGAGATCCCCCCTCAGAGAGAGAGAGAGAGAGAGAGAGAGAGAGAACAGAAGAGAGGAAATCTTCAACAAAATAATTTGGAATTTTCCAGAACTGAAGGATAAGTTTCCAGATTCCAAGGCCCCACCTAGCACAATGGGCAAAAGTAGACCAACTCCAAAGCATATTCATGACATTTCAGAACACCAAGGACAAAAAGAAGTTTCTACAAGATCTGGGGAAGTGTGCTGTGTTACATATTTAAAAATATCAAGAATCAGCCCTGGCCGGTTTGGCTCAGCGGTTAGAGCGTCTGCCTGCGGTCCGGAGAGACCCGGGTTCGGTTCCCGCTAAGGGCATGTACCTCGGTTGCAGTTTGTCCCCGGCCCTGGTTGGTCGTGCGGGTGGCGACCACTCGATGTGTCCCTTTCACATCGATGTTTCCCTCTCTCTCTTCCTCTCTCTCCCTCCCACTCTGTCTGTACAAAAAATGGAAAAATATCCTCGGATGAGGATTAAAAAATATATATATTTCAAGAATCAAAATATCTTCAGGCTTCTCAGCATCAAATTTGGAAGCTAGAAAGAAGATAATGGAGCAGAGCAGTGCCTTCAGAATTCTTACGAAAACAGTTCCAGCCTAGGACTTTACTGTATACATAGTCACATGACCACTTAAGAGTTAGGATTGAATGAAGACATTTTCAGCCATATGAGGTCTCCAAAACATTTGCTTCCTGAGTATATATCCTTAAGGAGCTGCTGGATATGTGCTCTTCTGACCCAACACAAGGAAAGGGACTCTTCCTATAGGAGGAAGGGGCTCCCAGGATTGTACCTACACACTCAGTAGAGGGCACAGTTCTTAACAGTGTGACTCCGGAGAGTGACATTTTTTTTTTTTTTATCCTCACCTGAGGACATCTTTCCATTTTTTGTTCTGTTTCACACCCAAGCATGTGCCTACACCATGTGACTAGGTTGTTTCCAGTGAGATAGGAACTGAAGTGATGTGTGCAAGTCACAAGTTATGCCCTTAATTTCCACATTTTACCAACCAGGGCTCTTGTACCTGGATAGTGATGCCCTATGTAACATCACACCATTACTGTCAAGCTGACATTAGAAGACAAGGTGGTGTGCAGACAAAGAGAAGGATACTGTGGTGATAATGATGTGAACAGTGTGCTTAGCATTTATTTTACTTAAATGATAAAATTGTCCATTCACAGTAGCAGTAAATTTACATTTTAATGAGATCTGGATACAACATAGCAATTTATATTCATTAAAAAGAGGTTTTACTATACAGTAAAAACCATTAATACCAACTGCAATATTTTGCGTTTACCTTAAGTTAAACTTTTTTTCTCAAAGCTGATTTTGCGCCATCATAACAAATTAATTACAAGGGAGTGTCAAACCAATGGAAGAGAATAGAAAAAAGTCCACCAGTAATATTAATTTATATACAAATTGCTATGGATAGAAATGCTTTTAAAATGGAGGTCAACATTTTGTTATAACTCAGTTTTGTTCATGTGAACACATAATCCCACTCTGCAGAACCTAGAAATGAAATGGAAGGTACCCCAAATGTCCCATTACGTTTCAGTAAGTGAAAGACGTGCCATAAATAGGAGAAGGAGGGGTGTTAGTAACTATAATATAAACGTTTCTTTTTCTAGATCTTAAAACATTTTGGTTAGGTGATTTGGGTATGGATTTTAAGGTTACATAATTCGGGACAGTAAAAAGCTCCCCTTCATCTTACCTCAGTGTTCTTTTCTTTTTCTATACTATACAATCAAATTCTTTCAAAGGGAAATGTGTATATAGCTTAGAAAATAGCTTTTTTTTGTTTTTTGCTAGCTATTGTTATTTATTATTCCAAGAGCTGATAACATCTCGTCTATCTGCTTTATGTTATTTTTAAATTTTTTTATTTAAAAAAATATGCCTTTATTGATTTTTTTTAGAGAGGAAGGGAGAGAGAGATGGAAACATCCATGTGAGAGAAACATTGATCAGCTGCCTCTTGCACGCCCCCTACTGGCACTGGAGATCGAGCCTGCAACCCAGGCATATGCCCTGACTGGGAACTGAACTGGGTGGGACCTCTCAGTCCATGGGACAACATTCAATCCACTGAGACACACCAGCCAGGCTCTTTATTTCATTTGTTTTAATTTAATTAAATTTATTGGGGTGATATTGGTTAATGCAATTATATAGGTTTCAAGTATACAATTCTGTAATACATCATCTATATATTGCATTGTGGAAATAATTTTCTTAAATTAAATTCTGCTAATGACCATATATGTTCAGCTTTCGTTTATAATTATAATTGAATCTTAGCTATCAATAAATTGACTCTAAGAACATCTACTTAGCCACACTTAAATATTTTTTGCCTTGCCCTGGCCGGTTGCTCAGTGGTTAGAGCGTCCACCTGCGGTCCAGAGAGACCCGGATTCGGTGTCCGCTAAGGGCACGTACCTCGGTTGCAGTTTGTCCCCGGCCCTGGTTGGGTCGTGCAGGTGGCAGCCACTCGATGTGTCCCTTTCACGTCGATGTTTCTCTCTCTCTTTCTCCCTCCCTCCTACTCTATCTGAACAAAATATGGAAAAATGTCCTCGGGTGAGGATATATATATATATATATTTTTTTTTTTGCCTTGTTTTATGTCTTGTACTTTTCACACTAAGTTTGAAGTTCTTCCCTTCAATCCACATTGATATGCCCTCCTACTTGTTTTAAAAAAATGTTTTCTCCTTCATTGTTGAGAGAGAGAGAGAGAGAGAGAGAGAGAGAGAGAGAGACATCTGTCTGCTGTTGCACCCATTCACACACTCCCTGATTGATTCCTGTGTGCGCCCTGACTGGGGGAGGAACCAAAACCCTGGCACGTGGAGAGGACACTCCAACCAACTGACCCACCGGGCCAGGGCTCTTCTACTTTTAAGAGAACTGCTTATTTCTTGTAGCATGTTCATTTGACTCTAGAGGGCACAAGGTCACTAGAAAGTTAAATAAGCAGCAATTCATAATACCTGTCTGCTTTCTATTTCGTGACTTTGGAAAATGGAGATGATTAATTTACTCTGGTGTCTCACACACTGAAGGATCTTTCTGTTTTTTTCAGTTTAAATTTAATCTCACGTAGCCTTCACTTTCATTGTTCAAAACATAAAGGGCGCCCAATTTATCAGAAGTGTATAAGATTATCAATGTGTTCTGGTAAACTGTCAAATTCACACTTTGGAGATCTGCAAAGAAACAGAGCTCTGCTTTATATAGAACAGAGATTACCTTGCCACCTCAATTCCTTCCTTCCTTCCTTCCTTCCTTCCTTCCTTCCTTCCTTCCTTCCTTCCTTCCTTCCTTCCTTCCTTCCTTCCTTCCTTCCTTTTTTGTTAATCCTTACCCAAGGATATTTTTTTCCATTGCTTGCCAGAGAGAGGCGAGGGGAGAGAACCATTGACAGGAGAGAAACACATCAATTGGTTGCCTCCCCTATGTACCCGGACCAGGCCAGGGGTCAAATCTGCAACCCAGGTACATGCCCTTGAACAGGAATTGAACCCTCAATCCTTCAGTGCAAGGGCCAACATTCTAACCACTGAGCACACCAGGCAGGGCTCATCTCAATTTCTAACAAAAAGTAAACAATAGTGGATATTTATATGTTCCAGTTATTATAGGTCTTTTGCACTATTTTGTTTTATTTAAAAAAATGCATACACCTGAAACTAAAAAAAAAATAATATTGAATGTAAACTGTAATTGAAAAATAAAATTTTTAAATGCAGATAGTATTTCAATAGCACAGGAAAAACAGTTTGGAAAATTAGAAACCATAATAGTATAAAACAGTGAAAATGGTAGCACACCTAGATAAAATTTCGTCATGAGTACTAATGCAAATTTCCAGTATTTTTCCAAATTCACTCAATTGAATTTAATCAATTATAAAAAGAGAATTTGAAGAGGAACCAGATATTTTAAGACATTAGAGCCTTCTTGTGGAGTAAGAAGGTATAATAAAATGAACACATCTTTTTATGTTAATACCAAGTAAATTGCCATTTTCTCTTAGTATTCATTATTGCTGAATACATAATTATAGCACAAAATATAATTTTATCTTTGACAACATGCCAACTGCACACCCAGCTTTCAACACATTTCCCTTCACAGAATTTTTGTGTATTATAAAGAGTGCAGTGTAAGTCCATCTGCCTCGGGGTTTAAAAATTGACCATTTCAGTGAACACTGAATGTTACTTGTTTCTAAACTATATCTGTTAATCTTGTTGGGGAAAGGGCATTTTGAGAAACAAACCATCATAAGGACAAAAAGTGACATAGGCCATCAGCAATATCGATGGCCAAGCTCTCCAGTCCCTTCCCACACCACTTTCTTCCCTCAAGAGCTGCCAGACCGATCATCTCGGCAATATATTTTACACAGGCACTTTGATGCTGTGGACAGCGAGGCAACCATTCTCACACTACTAACCACCAAGCCGCCAATTTCAGAATCACAACCGTTTGTTGCCTATTTTTACTGCAAGTTTTAGATTTCTGACCTTCGTTCGTGATACTCTTAAACTGAAGTAGAGTAATGAGCTTAGCTGAGAGCCACCTGGTAGTGTAATGGTTGGTGATTTTTTAAAAAGTGGTACTGAGTACAATATATATAAAAGTAAGATATTTTGGACAAGTGCAAAAAAAATAAATTAAAAAAAATAGTGTCGCAATTTCTTTGTGACC